TGATATCCGATCAAACATATTGAATTATATATTCTCGTAAATATTTGTACCTTTTTTTTTTATATTATATATATTCATGTATTGCATTTTATTAATATTCGCACCATTTTATTTAATATCTGATTTTATTCAATAGTTACTATCTCACGTTATTCATATGTATATACAATATATATTCTTTCAATCTACTGAAACTGAAATATTGTTCTCTTATTGCGTTACTTTATACTTACATATTGTAATATTAAATTTTGTTATTCGATATTATTCATTCACTGTCCCTTAACATCCATCACCCTTATTCTATAATAAGTTAAATAAGAATAATTCCTTTTTTTTTACCTTTAATGTTATTTGTATTATTTGACCTTTATGTGCATTCTCTTTTCTTTAATTCGTTATATGCATTTTTTTCCAATTTATTCTCTTTATTGTAATTCTTTATTTTATTTGAACTGTTAAATTCCCATTACTAATATCATCCAGGACAATACATTAATTCCCTCTCTCTACATATATGATATATAAATATTGTTACACATCATACTCTTATATGCTACTCATTTAGATAAAAATATAAATATATATATATCATCATCATTCACGAACTACATATAAACTGCTACTCTATCAAATAAATATATTATTATTTTTATTTTAATACTTCACATTGCTAAATTATATTGAAATTTAAAGTTATTTACCACAGTCAAACAAATTGATTATTGTAAGTCTAATAACACTGTGTGACCGATTTCAACTTTTAAAATTTTTCAAAGGGCGCGTGGGTTTGATTGTGTCGGGAACACGACTCACTATCATTTTCCCAAGAGATTTGGTAAAGGTAGATCGTAGAAGAATGGGTCATAAATTTGAAATTATTAATTTCGAGGAGTACCAGTTGCGCTATTCTCATGGTTTTGAGATCAAATATTATCACACATACGTACACGCACATACATACACATACTCACACTCACATTTATGCGCGCGAGCGCGAACTTTGTTTTACAAATACATGAGATAGCATTAGATAGTAGGATCTGTGCAGCTGGCACGACATTCTGTCGATATCAAAAAAATTACAACAGTTCCAGTAGCACTTTTCATAGTTCTACAGTTCTACCTAGAAATAAAAAATAGTTCCGCAGTTTTAATATGAAAAAGCTAAAATTGGAAATATGGCGTGCTAACTACGCAAATCTGGCACGTCAGATTTCCTCTAAAGTACGAGAAAAAAAATTAATATTTACACTTTTAGCAACAGTTCCCGATAGTTCTACTAAAAACCAACTAAATTCTGCATTTTCAAAATAAAATAACAACATTTAACAATTTTTATACATCCTATATATGTATAGAAAATGGCATAAAACTTCTAGAAAAAGTGACGTGCTAACTATTTCTATCAGTTTCAACGGCAGTTCTCGTTAGTTCTCACAGAGTTCTATGCAATGCAACCATTTATAAGCAGAGTTCCGGCCTCTACATATTTTAAATCAATTGTTTAGTACCTGAGTCCAGCACGTCACTTTTTCTACAAGTGTCGTGCTGGACTCAGGTATTAAAAAATTGATTAAGGCTCCTGAATACTCAGCCAAGAACTCCGTGTTGATGGTAGCGACACCGAATTAGGGCCAATTTCACCAACGTCGGTTAAGCTAACCGACGGTTAATTCCAATGGAATTATCTAATCGCATTTGTCTTTGACCAGAATGAACCAATCACGATTGACACTTTAACCGTCGGTTAGCTTAACCGACGTTGGTGAAATTGGCCCTTAATCGGTGACTAGCAAAACTGGTAAGTTTTAACGCAAAGTAACGCTACTAGTTATACACACAAATGCAAGCTCATGTCTGTGTGCTCATTTTCGGGTAGAAGGGGAGCACCACTGATATGTATATATGGATAGCGAACGCCCTATACCAGCAATGCTAAATTTTTGTGCGGAATAGAAGGGCCGCCATGTTGACTCAGGTGTGTCATTTGAGAAGTGGGGGGAGTGGGGAATGAAGGATAGCGATTCCGCGGGAGCTTTGAAATCAGTATAAACATAACATTATCGCTTGGTGATGAATAACGTCGATGATTGCATAAAATGATAATGCAATAAAATGTAAATGTTTGTAAATATCCCGGTAAACGAAAAAGAATTAAAGAGAATTGAAATTTGTAATTCTTTCAATATCATTTTTGAACACCTAAGAAGAATATTGAAATGCATTAAAAGTAATTGAAAACGAAAAGTAGGAATTGAATGAATTGACAAGAATTCAGAATGTTGAAATGTATTCATTTAATTAATGCCATTCCATAACCTATTTATTTACATTTATGCATGTTATGTACTTTCAACAAAGATTATACCTGAAAACGTAAATGTCTTAATCTATTCATGTGATGTATGCAATAAGTATATGCATAATGAAACATAAAACGATATATAATCAAAATTATATTTTCATATTTTAATTTTATATGGATTTAAGATAAAAGAGTTGAATACACCTATATACACCTTAAATACTATTGCCTAGCTTTTTCCCACAGAAATAGCACTTCATATTGCATTCCAATTTACAAAAACGATCACCAAATCTATAACAGCACACCGAACAGAAAACAGCCTTTTTAGTATTAACCGCGCGACATATGTAAACATTACGAATGCACCCGACAGATACCGACAATTCCCGAAAATGACACAGTCGAGTCAACATAGCGGCTCTAAGTCGGCACACGAATTGCAGCCCATCCGCTATCCATATTATACATATCAGTGACGCATGTCCGTATAATCTTCCGCACCTGATTCCAGCCGTCGATCAACCAAAATTTTTGGCGAAGACTATATATAATGTGGTTTGAATTCCCGCGTGATGCTGGATCTCGTGTTTCTCTCGTATAATGTTATCAGTCAAAACGTGCTTACTAGGAAGCAATATCGGATGCTTTTGGGGAAATGTTAGTTGCGATGAACGAAGTCTTCCGCCCACTCTGAGCAGTCCGTTTTCGTCAATGAAGGGGTTCAAGCTAGCGATTTTACTTTTGTTCGACAACTCCTTGCCTTGTTCTAAATTTTTGATCTCGTTCGCAAATTGCATCGATTGGAGAAGTTTTAAAACTCGTGTTTCGGCCTGATCGATCTCGATCGCGCTTATTGGGCCGATATGTTTATTGTCTGATCGCCAACGTCGGCAATACGCGACGACTTTAAGTAGTTTAGTGTACGAAGAGTATCTGTTTAGAATCTCGAAACTGTCAAACGTCGTTATCATGCATTTGTTTGCCTTCAAATCAGGTAAATTTACTGATCGTGTAATTTGAAAGGGCCAACCGCCCTCCTTTTCAATTAACCATGGAGGGCCCTCAAATCATGTGCGATTCCGCAAAAAATCGCGAGGCAACTGTCCCCGAGACAGCGCGTCGGCCGGATTTTCTCTCAAACTCACATGTCGCCATTCGTAAGATCCGGTAATCTCTTGCACTTCGGTGACTCGATTCGCTACATATGTTTTGAGTAAGTATGGCTGTGTCTTCAGCCAGTGCAGTACGATCATTGAGTCATACCAAAATATGATCTTGTCGGGAGTAACATTCAGCGCGTCCTTTGTTTCGTGATATAGTCGTGCTAACAGTAATGCTCCGCAGAGTTCTAATCGCGGTATTGTTACCGCCTTTAAGGGTGCCACTCGTGATTTCGCGCAAAGTAATCTCGCGACCGTCTTTCCGCATCTCCCGGTCGAGCGTATGTATTATAGACAGGCCCCATAACCGCTGCCACTAGCATCACAAAACCCGTGAATCTGGACGTCGCATGGATTCTCCACGAATAATTTACGGGGAAAAGAAATTTGACCCATGGATTCTAATTGCTGTGCGAATTCGACCCAGGAGGTATAGAGACATTGCGGGACGGACTCGTCCCATTGCAACTCGCATTTCCACACGTCCTGCATCAATTTTTTGGCATATAAAATAATGGGACCTAGCAAACCTAGTGGGTCGAAGATTTTCGCGATTTCTGCAAGGATATTCCGCTTCGTCACCCTTTCCGGAATTCTGATAGTGTGAGTTGAATAATATACTTTGTCCTCTCGTGCGTTCCACCCTAAGCCTAAAGCCTTTAGTAGACGATCTCCGTTTTCTAGGAAATCTATATGTAGCGCGCTATCGGTTAAATTACTAACGATTCGGTCATCGTTAGACGCCCATTGTCGAATGACGAAACCGCCTTTAGCCAATAACATGATTAACTCGTCTCGTATCCTTCGAGCTTCCTCTATCGAATCCGCACCGGTTAGCAGATCATCGACATAAAGATGGGTTTGTAGAATTTTAGGCGCTCGTGGAAATGCGTGTCGTTCATCATCTGCAAGTTTTTGAATAACGCGAACCGCTAGAAAAGGCGCTGAAGAGATACCAAATGTAAGCGTATTGAAATGGAACGTCTCGATGTTTTCATTTATCCGCCATAATATCCTTTGATAATGCCGATCACCTTCATGCATCCGCACCTGGTAATACATTTTCTCAATGTCTGCTAGAAGAACGTAATCATAAGTACGAAACCGGATTAAGTGCGTGTACAATTTGTCTTGAATGGTGGGCCCTACCATCAAGATGTCGTTTAACGATAGACCTTCGTCTGTTTTCGCGGACGCGTCGAATACGATTCGAAGTTTAGTGGTACAGCTCGTTTCTTTAATTACTGGATGGTGCGGCATGTAGTATCCTTCGTTGCCGGTGTCTTGTACAATGATATATGACCTAATCTAATATGTTCTTTGAACGCCCGAGCGTATTCATCCCGAAGCGCCTTATTCGCTTTGAATTTGCGCTCCAACGACAATAGTCGTCCGAGCGCGACGGAACGAGAGTCGCCGAGAAACGCGTAGACCGGTGAAACGGCAGGCGCACGGTATAGTGTCCGTCCTCGTTACTCGAGACGTTTTCTGAAAAATGCGCTTCACATCGCGTCTCCTCCTCCGATTTCGGCCGATTCCTCGTTATCTCCTCGATCTCCCAAAAACTAACTAGCTGTCTCTCCAAATTCGTCACGTGACACGTGAACAGGTTCGAAGGAAGGGGTACCGGCGGGCCTCCGGCAATCACCCAACCTAACCGCGTTTTTTGCAAGTAAAGATCATGATTTTCGCGCGATAGGTTAATTTGCCCTATGGAAAACAGGGACAATGTTGCCCCCGAATCGATCAGTAATCAGTAATCGATCAGCCATCGACCGCACGCGGTACATGGAAGTCTGGGTCGGCTAATTTAATGTTTGGTGGAATCTTAAATAAATTTCGCGAAAAAATTTCCGAGGGCACTGATTCAATAATCGATGGTACTATTAAACATGTGAGTTGTTTGTTGAACAAATAATTGAAGAATTAAAGGACTCTTTTATATAACAATAATTAATACGTTAAAAATGGCGAATAAGAGTCAAATTACAATTTAAAATCTGAATAATTTATTCTAATAATTTATTCTAATATTCTATATTGCGAAGAATATCACGTAATTTTTGGCGTTTCGTCCCGGCTTCCACTACTGGACTCATCAGTAAAGTATTGTAATGGAAGTCTACCTTAGACGCCGGTGTAAGTTATTAAATCGAGATGCTATATAAAGAGAAATTCTCTTACACGCACGCACGCACGCACGCACGCACGCACGCACGCACGCACACATTCTTCATTGCATACATTGGCCCGTATTCAGAACGCACTTTTACCGATAAAAGCGGGCTTTTATCTCTGAAATTCTATAGTATACGTAACGTAAACTGTAGCATGTTAGCGCGCTAACATCGTTGTTAGCGCGTTTTGAATACGAGCCATTGTCTTTGATGAAACCTAACCTACAGCGTCGTATGTGCATTCACGAACACACCCAGTACCAACTTAACCCATTGACTTGTTGACATCGCGTAAACCGTGTTGAGTAATTTTAACTCGTCGAATAATTATTCGGTAGTGTTTTATTGTGATTAACCGTAGTAATGAAAATAAATTCGTCATTTTGCTTTCCTTCTTTCAAGTAACAAGCAATTTCAGTCGCTGAACGATTTATCGGGAGTGATTCATCGATTTGTATATAAAAGATTCGTATGTAAAAATCAATCAAGTGCGTGAATAAATCCATGAAAGTATTGATACGCGATACAATTTATAAAAGGAGGAAAACCTTTGATTACTAATTACTGTAATCTGTTTCTTTCTTGGATTAATTCTCAATCGCTAATTAATTAATCGGTAGTGATTAATAATAACGAACTGATAAATTCGTTAATAAATCGATCAAATGTAAGTGAATTTGTGTAAAGTTGACATTTGTGTAAACGTGACATAATTAATGTGATAGAAAAAAGTTTATTATTATTCTGCGTTGTGGATTTGTGTGAGAATCTTGTCGGAATTCACAGATATTGCATTCTGCCTTTTTCCAGCTCGATTACATCCCTATAAGGTGCGTGCGTGCGTGCGTGCGTGCGTGCGTGCGTGCGTGCGTGCGTGCGTGCGTGCGTGCGTGCGTG